CCTTTCAGGATTACTGCTGAAGAGGAGGCCCGAGACTCCTTACCTAATCTATAGCCTCATTCAAAGTCTGATCTGCGTCTGGGCCAGACCCCTGCAGGGTGTGAAGCCAGGCACAGTGGAGACCACACAAAGCTTTTTAGGCACCAGTGCATCAAGGAATGAAGGAAGCATCAGAGAAAATATTTTCAGAGCTGTAAATGTTCTTTACTGTTTCTAGTCCTTAAATGACCTTACCATGGTTAATCTTAAGAGATTATTGGTATTTATTGTAACTGTAAAAGGACTGCCCTTAAATTTGGCTTTTATTACTTACCCAGTAATGCAGCTACTGGATCAGCCTAATCATAGTAGTTTCCATTTTTCAGCCAAGGCATATTTTTAAATCCTCAGAGAACAGAAACTATCAAGTAACCTCACCTGTTTGCAAGAACCTGCTCTCTGTTGCTGGCCATGTGTTCTGCTTTTATGCCCCAGTCCCACCCCTAATCCCACCAGAGTCCTGGCCCATTTTCCCTGGCATGGTCTAGGGGAACATCCTTCATTCTACTCAGCTAGACCATGCTGACTTCAGGAGGACAGACTGGAGGAGCAAGCCATGGACGCAATCTGTCCGTGCAGAAAAGAGTGGAATTAGCACCCTCTGTTGACTGCATCTTTGCATTGGACATTACCTAAAACCTTGTTCCAAGCATCAAGAAATGTAGGTTTGTAGCAGACTTGAAAAAAGAGGCAGAGATAGAGATACCTTATGGCAGACACTACTGCTCCTTGTGATTTTTCCAGGTCTTCTCTTCTTCCAAATGCTTATGACAATTGCTCCTCCTCATTCCCGCCAAGTCAAGTGACCATGTGACTTGCTTTGGCCAATGAAATGTGAGAGGACATGAAGACTGTCTCTTCAGTGTGGAAGCATTCATGAGTTGTGTAACATTTTCAGTGCTCTTCATCCCCTGCGTGGGAGATCATGTCAATGCAGCAAGGCTGCAAGATCAAAGTAACCTGGAATATTGAGCCACCATGCAAAGGACAGCTTACTAGAGCATTGATGGGACCCATAAAGGACTTCACATTAGTGAGAAGCAAACCCTTGTTGTTTAAGCCACTGATGTTCTGGCACTGTTTGTTACTGCAGCGTACCTAGGCTCTCTTGATTGGTACATGCCTTCATGCTCCTGTAAAATGAAACTCTTCAGTGTGAACATCATTCTCCTTGACAAGGGAGACAGAAACAATCAGAAGTTCATATTTCTCTCTGATCTTGAGAAACATGACAACAGCCCAACTATTGGGCTTACCCATATCTTGCTCCAAAAATTATGTCCTAGCTCTAAAAATTAAATTCCCTTTTAGCGATCTTCTGTACATTTTTCTAGACTTCCCTCACTGGGGATATCAGCTTTTCCAACCCTGTCATTACATGTCCGTGCCACCCTCTTAAGTTTGTACTTAATATTATGTCTCCCCTTGCTGCTACTTTCCATGATTTGTACATGTTTTCAAGTCTAGGCTCACCAGGGTTTCTTTGTGAACTCCTCTTTATTCTGTGTCAGGGTCTGAACAACTGCATTTTTTAGAGTTCTCGACATTCTTAAGAAGCCTTCCTTTTTAGAGATTCATGTGATAGAACAATGCCTTTTTTGCCCTTTTATGCATTAAAATCAGTTTTCCTTAAGAATAGGACATGTTCTTGCTGAGATGCCCTGGACACTACAGCAAAGTCTGGAGAAAAACACAAGGATACCAACATCTATCAGATATGTTAAGAACTACTGGCTCAAGATGGTTTACAATTTCAGCATTAGATCACATTCTATTCCTTTTGCTGGCATCATATCTTTGGTTGGGTTTTCAGTGATTGCTGTCGTAAAAAGCAAGTGTCATTGAAAATCAATGTAGAGCAGGAAATGAGCATGGCAGTGTCCTATATGAGTCCAGAGTTTGAGAAGTTGTACAGTGCCAAACATGTATACTTAGTAATTGTGGGTTATTTAAAAATGAAATAAGTACATTTTCTTTCAATTAATGTGTAACATTTTTTCCAAAAATGACTAAGTTGTTAGAGCATAAATACTTCTTATGTTGTTTGACCCTAAATATTTATAATACAGGAAACTGAAAAAAAAATCATTGAGACATTGAGGGCATTATGAACTAAGAAAATGCGGTAACCTCTGGTCTAGGGACACATCAAACCGTACTCAATCTTGTCCTGTTATGTCCTCAAAAATACACGTTCAGTCGTTTCCAAAATCAGTGCTGGGAGAACTAGATAGCCACATGCAAAATAACAGTGTTGGACCTTTACCCACATGTAGAAATTAACTCAAAGTGGATCAAAGACCCAAATAAAGAGCTAAAACTAGAAAACCCTTAGAAGAAAATAGAAGTAAATCTTCATGACCTTAGATATAAAAATAGTGTATTAGATATGGCACCAGAAGCACAAACAAAGACACATTGCATTTTGTCAAAATTTTGTGCATCAAAGGACACTATCAAGAGAATGAAAAGGCTATTCACAGAATGGAAGAAAATATTTGCAAATCATATTTAGTCATATATCTAATAAGGGTCTAGTATCCAGAATATATAAACATTTCCTACAATTCAACAAAAAGATAAACAACCCAATTTGAAAATGGGCAGAGGACTTTAGATATTTCACCAAAGACATAAAAAAAGCCAACAAGCATATGAAAAGATGCTCAATATGTTAGTCATCAATCAAAACCCAATGTGACACCACCTCATGTCCACAAGTTTGGCTAACACGGTGAAACCCCATCTCTACTAAAAATACAAAAACAAAATTAGCCACGTGTGGTAGAGGGTGCCTCTAGTCCCAGCTACTGGGGAGGCTGCAATGAGAGAATGGCATGAACCTGGGAGGCGGAGCTTGCAGTGAGCCGAAATCGTGCCAGCCTGGGCAACAGAGTGAGACTCCATCTAAAAAAATAAAAAAATTAAAAATAAGAAGTGTTAATTGCTACAAAGAGCATAAAAACACCTAAGAATATAGCTAACAAGGAAAGTGAAGGACCTCTTCAAGGAGAACTAGAAGCCACTGCTCAAGGAAATAAGAGAGAACACAAACAAGTGGAAAAACATTCCATGCTCATGGATAAGAAGAATTAATATTATGAAAATGGCCATACTGCTCAAAGTAATTTATAGTTTCAATGCTATTCCCTTAAAACTACCATTGACATTCTTCACAGAATTAGAAAAAAACTACTTTAAAATTCATACGGAACCAAAAAAGAGCCTATACTATACTACAAGGAGGCATCATGCTACCCGACTTCAAACTATGCTACACAGCTACAGTAACCAAAACAGCATGGTACTGGTACAAAAACAGACACATAGACCAATGGAACAGAATAGAGATTTCAGAAATAAGACCACACACCTACAACCATCTGATCTTTGACAAACCTGACATAAACAAGCAATGGAGAAAGGATTTTCTATTTAATAAACAGTGCTGGGAAAACTAGCTAGCCATATGCAGAAAATTGAAACTCGACCCCTTCCTTACACGTCATACAAAAATTAACTCAAGATGGATTAAAGACTTAAATGTAAAACCCAAAACTATAAAAACCCTAGAAAAAAATCTAGGCAATACCATTCAGGACATAGGCATGGGCAAAGATTTCATGACAAAAACATCAAAAGCAATTGCAACAAAAGGAAAAATTGACAAATGGGATATAATTAAACTAAAGAGCTTCTGTACAGCAAAAGAAACTATCATCAGAGTGAACAGACAACCTACAGGATGGAGAAAATTTGTGCAATCTATCCATCTGACAAAAGTCCAATATCTAGAACCTACAAGGAACTTAAACAAATTTACAAGAAAAAACCAACCCCATTAAAAAGTGAGCAAAGGACATCAACAGACACTTTTCAAAAGAAGACTTTTATGTGACCAATAAACATGAAAAAAGCTCAACATCACTGATCATTAGAGAAATGCAAATCAAAACTACAATGAGATACCATCTCATGCCAGTCAGAATGGCGATTATTAAAACGTCAAGAAACAACAGATGCTGGTGAGGCTGTGGAGAAATGAAAACACTTTTACACTGTTGGTGGGAATGTAAATTAGTTCAACCATTGTGGAAGACAGTGTGGCAATCCTCAAAGACCTAGACCCAGAAATAACCTTTGACCCAGCAATCCCATTACTGAACATATACTCAAAGGACTGTAAATCATTCTGTTGTAAAGATACATGCACATGTGTGTTCACTGCAGCACTATTCACAATAGCAAAGACATGGAATCAACCCACATGCCCATCCATGATAGACTGGATAAAGAAAATGTAGTGCATATACACCATGGAATACTATGCAGCCATGAAAAGGAATGAGATCGTGTTTTTTGCAGGACCTGGATGGAGCTCGAAGCCATTATCCTCAGCAAACTAACACAGGGACAGAAAACCAAACACTGCATGTTCTCACTTAAAAGTGGGAGCTGAACAATGAGAATACGTGGACACAGGGAGGGAAACAATACACACTGGGGTCTGTCATGGGGGCAGGGGAAGAGAGAGCATCAGGATAATTAGCTAATGCATGAGGAGCTTAATACCTAGGTGATGGGTTGATAGGCACAGCAAACCACCATGGCACACGTTTACCTATGTAACAAACCTGTGCATCCTGCACATGTATCCCAGAACTTTAAAATTAAATTAAATTAAAATGACAAGTGTTGATAAGGATGTGGAGAAATTAGAACCTTTGTTCATTGCTGGTAGGAACGTAAAATGGTGCAGTTGATGTGGAACACAATGTGGTAGTTCCTCAAAAGGCTAAACATGGAATTACCAAATAACTCTGCAATTCCACTTCTCTCTATGTACCCAAAATATCTGAAAACAAGTATTCAAGCAAATATTTGTACAAAATGTTCATAGCAGTACTATTCACAATAACTAAAAGGTGGGAACAACCCAAGTGTTCATCAGCTAATGAATGGATAAACAAAATGTGGTATATCTGTATAATGGAATATTACTCAGCCATAAAAAGGAATGAAGTGCTGATACATGATACAACATGGATAATCTTCGAAAGCATGATAGTAACTGAAAGAAGCCGGATAAAAAGGTTACATATTGTTTAATTCCCTTTATATAAAATATTCAGGACAGGCCTCTGTTCTGAATATTTTATATTCTGTCTCCATGGAGAAAGAAAGCAGATTAATCGTTACTAGGGGCAGGGAAAGAGGGAATAAGTGACTGCCTAATGAACACAGGATTTTCTTTTCTGATGATGAAAATTTCTTAGAACTAGATAGAAGTTGTCTTAGTCTGTTTTGTGTTGCTATAACAGAATACCTGAGACTGGATAATTTATAAAGAAAAGAGGTTAATTTAGCTCAAGGACCTGCAGGCTTGGAAGTTCAAGGATATGGCCCTGGCCTCCCGTAAGTGCTTTTGTCCTGCATTATAGCATGGCAGAGAAGGTCAAAAGGAAAGCAGACACATGCCAAGAGGGACTAGACGAGGAAAATCTTGCTTTTTAACAATTCTTTCTTGAAGGAACTCATCCATTCCTAGAGAATTAATCTAGTCTCATGAGAGCAAGAACTCATTACTGCAAGAAGGATACCAAGCAATTTGTGAAGGATTCACCCCCATGATCCAAACACCTCCCACTAGGCCCCACCTCCCCAAACCACCACACCGGGGATCAAATTTCAAATTTGGTGGGGACAAATACACTATATCCAAAACATACCAGAAGTGATGGTTGCACATTATGAATGTGCTAAATGCCACTGAATTGTACACTTTAAAATGGTTTATGGTTAATTTCATGTTATATAAATTTAACCTCAATTAAATGTACACACACACACACACACACACACACAGAGAGAGAGAGAGAGAGAGAGAGAGACAGAGGGGCGGGGGAGCATGGTCATCCTCAAGGTTTCTGTAACTTCTACTCTGCCAGTAATTTCCCACTTGCTGGTAGAATTAAAGGTCCATCATATCAGGGACATTAGTTATTTTCCTACCCTGTAAGACAGGGGTTCTTAACCTTTAAGTTCACCTTCAAGGGGTCAAAAGACCCCTTGAAGTTATACGTAAAAATTTAAGTCTATGGGCATTTTTCTGGGATGAGAGACCACACAGTGTTAAAAATGGAAGTTTCAACACCATGACACAGACAACATCTTCCAAAGTAAGGAAGAAGTCTCCCAAAGGAGATGCCCAAAAACTGGTTAAACAACTCTAAATCCTTCAGGCACATACAGAAGGTTGGAGGGTGATGGGTGAGAAAGGTGATTTTTAAGAAAGAATATTTGGAGATGCCTATTTGTGTGCTTTGAGGCACTGTTCCACAAGCAGGAATGGAAATTGCTTCGTTTTTCATTTCAGATTGAGAGGGACTCCTTAAGAGAACACTCACAGAGCTGAACTCCCCAGTCTGAATCCTACCTGTAAGATCTACAAGGTAAGAGATGGCCTGGGTACCCTCTTGGGTGACAGCATAAAGGAGAAGGGCCTGGTTTGAATCCCAGCACTGCCTGAGTTTGTTAAGAGTAAACTTGTCTGAGTGTTTCCTGTGGCCAGCTGTGGGCCATGCACAGGAGAGACAGCTGGGGCTCAGTCTGGAGAACTTGCTGGAGAATTGTTCAAACTCATCTAGAAGCTCCTGGTATCCTGAAAACCCAGTGCTGAGGAAGGGGTGTTACCAGCCAGTGAAGAAGCACATGCCCTCACCAAGGGAATCCCAGGGAAGAGGTCCCTAACAATTGGGAGGAACCCCCCAAAACCTGCAAAAATACAAGAGGAACCAGGTTTCTCACTGTTGGAGTGGGAGGTTACAGAGAAGCAAGGGGACGAGTCTAGACTGATTTGTGTGGTTATGGGTTAGAGTAGGAAACACTATAAACTATGTTTGGCTAAATACAGATGGTTACTGCTATCATTTGGTTGGTTTGACCCCTCCAAATCTCATGTTGAACATTGGGGCCTGATGGCAGGTGTTTGGGTTATGGGGGCAGGTCCCTTATTAATGGCTTGGTGCTGCCCTGGAAGTAATGAGTGATTTCTCACTCTATTAGCTCCTGTAAGAGCTGGTTGTTAAAAAGAATCTAGCACCTCCTGTCTCCCTCCTTTGCTTCCTCTCTTGCCATGTGATCTCTGCACATGCCAGCTCCCGTTTCCCCTTCCACCATGAGGGGAAGCAGCCTGAGGTCTCACCAAAAGCAAACGCTGGTGCCATGTTTCTTGCATAGCCTGCAGAACTGTGAACCAAATAAACCTCCTTTCTTTATAAATTCCCTGACCTTAGGTATTCTTCTATAGCAAAACAAAAGACTAAGACAGTTACATATAGAATTATTTATAGATATGTATATAAATATGGGTTAGGGAACTAGGTTTGGGATATATGGGAACTCTACTATCTTTGACGTTTCTCATATATGTAAAACTATTCTAAATGAAAAGTTTATTAAAAATCAATTGTAGGACTGGGCATGGTGGCACATGTCTGTGATATCAGCACTTTGGGAGACTGACAGAGGAGAACTGCTTAAGGCCAAGAGTTTCAGACCAGCCTAGAAAACATAGTGAGACCCTAGCTCTACAAAAATAAATTAATTGGGCATGGTGCTGCATTCCTGTAGTCCTAGCTACTTGGGAGGCTGAGATGGGATGAGCACTTGAACCCAGGAGTTTGAGGCTACAGTGAGCTATGATTGCACCACTGCACTCCAGCCTGGGTGACAGAGCAAGATGCTATCTCTGGAAAAAAAAAAAAAAAAAAAAGAAAAGCCAGGTGCAGTGGCTCACGCCTGTAATCCCAGCACTTTGGGAGGCTGAGGTGGGTGGATCACAAGGCCAGGAGTTTGAGACCAGCCTGGCAAACATGGTGAAACCCTGTCTCTACTAAAAATACAAAAAGTAGCTGGGTGTGGTGGCGGGCACCTGTAATCCCAGCTACTTGGGAGGGTGAGGCAGGAGAATCATTTGAACCTGGGAGGCAGAGGTTGCAGTGAGCTGAGATCATGCCATTGCACTCCAGCATGGGTGACAAGAGTGAAATTCCATCTCAAAAAAACAAAAACAAAAACAAAAAAAAACCAAAGCAATTGTATGGCTTAATATCCAAAATACATAAACAACTTTTACAACTCAATAGCAAAACAAGAACAACAACAATGAATAATCCAATCTTGAATAGACATTTCTCAAAAAGACATACAGATGGCCAACAAGTATATGAAAATATGCTCAACATCACTCATCATCAGGGTAATTTACATCAAAACCATAATGAGATATTGCCTCACACCTGTTATGATGAATATTACCAAAAAAAAAAACCCCACAAATAACAAATATTGGCAAGAATGTGGAAAAATTGGAACCCTTGTACACTTCGGGTGGGGATATAAAATGGTGCAGCTGCTATGGAAAACAGTATATTTTTTTGAGGTTCCTCAAAAAAATAAAAATCGAACTACATATGATCCAGCAATCCCACTTCTGTGGTATCCAAAATAATTGAAGTTAGGATCTTGCAGAGATATTTGCACTCCCATGTTTACTGTAGAATTATTCACTATAGCCAAGAGGTGAAAACAAAATAAATGTCCTTTGATGGATGAATGGATACAGAAAATCTCACCATTATATACATACAGTGGAATATTGTTCAGCCATAAAAAGATGAAAATCCTGTCATATGCTAGCACGTGTCTGAAACTTGAGTACATTATACTATTTGGTTGGTGCAAAAGTAATTTTTGCTGTCACTTTTGTACCAGCCAAATAAGGGAAATGCACCAGTCACAGAAGAAATAGTGCATGGTTCCATTTACATGAGTTATCTAAAGTAGTCAAACTCATAGAAGCACAGAGCAGAGTGGTGATTATCAGGGGCAGGAAGGAGAAGAAACTGAGTTGCTGCTAATGGGCATACAGTTTCAGTTATGCCAGAAAGAAAATTCTAGAGATCTGCTGTACAACATTTTGTTTATTGTTAATACTGTACTGTTCACTTAAAAAGTTAAGAGGTTAGAACTTATTTTAAGTGTTTTTTACAATTTTTTTTAAAGTTCTTTAAAAAGAGTCTTGCTCTGTTGGCCAGGCTGGAGTGCAGTGGCACAATCTTGGCTTAATGCAACCTCCGTCTTCCGGGTTCAAGCGATTCTCCTGCCTCAGCCTCTTGAGTAGCTGGGACTACAGGCGTGTGCCACCATGCCAGGCTAATTTTTGTATTTTTAGTAGAGACAAGGTTTCACCATTTTGGCCAGGTTGGTCTCAAACTCCTGACCTCAAGTGATCCTCCCGCCTTGGCTTCCCAAAGTGCTGGGATTACAGGCTTGAGCCACTATGCCCAGTCAGGAGATGAAGATTTTAGTTACTGAATTGAGATGGTGCTTTGTGCTTAAACTTATGCCTAGTGGTTCATTATTGGAACGTTAAGCATGTGGGAGTTATTTATATCCTACCACTCAAGGTCATCACTGAGGTCTGATTGCAAAAATTCAAAAAATTGCAACCCCAGGCATAAATGGCTTAAAGTGACTGCATGGCCAGAAAAATCACAAGACCTGCCTGAATTTTCATCTCAGGGCAATGGAAGAAATAGCCTCAGAAGGTGGGCATAAAGGAAGGGAGGGAATACAAAGAAAGTCGCGCTCTGATTACATCCTGTAAGCCATGTTGCTGCATGTATTTTCCTCTGATTCTCTGACTTAAGCAAGGGTTATATACTGCTGCTTCAAGAAATGAAATTGTCATGAGGAAGTCAAAAATATTTTCAGGACCAAAAGACGCTTGGAGCAGATGTCCCTAAAATTAAAACAAAAACAAAAAAACACCCACCACTCATCAGCACTGCTATGCATGCCTCTTGACCAGTTTTCAGATCTGTGTCAGAAGTACTTCATTTCTTCCCCTGTTTCAAGGACCTGAAGAATTCTCAATATCACAAAGGCTCCTCTCTCCTTCACCCTCACCCCAATGCCTCTGGTGTGTCCCACTAGCTCATTGAATGCGTTGGACGAGATAGGGTGTAATTGGAAAGCAACTCTTTTTTGCATCCTTGCCTTCTACATAGTGACCTCCTACATAGGCCCACTTCTCTCTGCTCCTGGTTGAAATTCTGAGTAGTTCAATAGTTTTTGCAATCACTTTTAACTATTATAAAGTCTGACTCAATAATCACATAACAACAAAAACTCATCTAATTAAAGTGCCTCTCTTCACCCAACTCAGGACTATCTCAGCCTTGACAGCCTGCAGTGGGGAAGAAAATTATGGTTGATTCTTCATGTCTTCTCATTCTACCTCCTCCTCCACTCAGCAGCCACTGTTTGTTCATGGCTCCACCTGGGCTAGAGCAGAGGGAAAGGAGGGGAGGCAGGGGTCAAGAAAAGTCTTTCTTGCCTGGTGTTGTAGATCCTTGGGAAACAGACTGAGGTTTTGTCACAGTGGAGTTTTGTGAGGCGTGTTCTCAGGAACACACCATAAGGGAGGGAGAGAAGCAGGTCTGGGCAGTAGGAGGTGGTGAACTGTAGTGCAGTTGCCACAGAGGTCACAGCCACTCCCAGGGGAGCTCTGAAGCTGGAATGGCCTTTCAAGTATGCCGTGGGGACCAGACACTGCTTATAAAGGCAGTTGGGTTCAAGTGGCCTCCAAGGAGAGGACATCACCGTCTGCCAAGAGCAATTCCTGGGGAAGGGCTCAACTGTGAGCTGGCGAATGAGTGCCTTCAGAGAGTCTAGGCAGGGCACAACAGCATTCACTACAACTGGTATAGTTACAATAGGACATCAGTACCCTCTGAGTGTGATAGATTCCAAATGCCAATTCCTTATCTTGCATGGGGTTTATTGATTTTTTAGAGACTTAGGTGATGTCTCCTCTAGTTAAAGCTGTCTGACAGCTTTCCTTTCCAATTCTGCTTCTCTGTTGGGGTCTCCTCACCCCTCCAGGTAGCCCTGTTGGGCTGAGCCTTTCTCAATATGACTGAGTACAGCTCCTTCCAGAGATTTTTCTGGCATTACTAAAGTGGCCTCAACAAAAAAAAAAATTGACCCTGCTATTTAAATGTTGCCAGAAGGAAAGATCAACTACTCTAACCCAAATTCATCATCCTTGGCAGATGTGCTCCATGTTTCATGTGGCTGATATCCAACAATTCCCTGCCACTGGTCAAATCATTTCACTATCTGAGAATACGATTTGAAACTAATTCATCTTGAAGTGTTTGACCAGAATCTACACTGCTTAAAATTAGAAATGCTATGTGTATTTTATTGAGTTATTTTTTTCAGTGCCTATGGTGGGTGATTGCTAACATCTGCACTGAAAATTTTCCAGGCTAAAATCATGATGGTCTCATGCGATGGCTTAGAACTTTGGTTCTCAATGACGTGTTCCTCAGTGTGTCAGAGGCCCCAGGACTGTTTCTTATCTCTTTCAATCCCACCTATA